GTTTATGGTTTAAGGTTTCCTAAAGCCTACACCTATAAACCCTAATTATTTGGGGATATAGACGTACATTGAAGATCTAGGAATCTAGAATGTCGCTTTATGTTTTTGGGTTATGGCGCTTCAGGTCTGGACAGCAGGTCGGAAGCGGCCCTTACATCCTGGGTATAGATGCAGCTCTCGCATGTGGATGATTTCTTGTGCAAGATCTCCAACCAGAGAGCATACTGGTTCTAGGCCGCCATACGGTTTAGCATAAGTAAAGGGTATATAGTAGAAGCCAGAAAGTTGGAACAGGATTATCCTCATGCCCTTATAAGGTAAAGTATAAGGGATCCTAGCACTAATCCTCCTAAACCCATGTTCCAACTTTCTGGGATTCGCTGTAAGTAAGGCACGTTATAGTTCTCGACCGTCGCACGAGCTTTCCACCGGCAGCTCACATGCCACCGTCCGAACTGATTCCGCTAGGTACAACTTGTTCTGACTGAGGGCGTATAGAAGAAAGAGTAGGACGACTTCGAATGTAGAGTGTTAAAGCCTTGCCTGTTAGCACACATTTCAACAAGCTATGGGACCTTCAAGTAAAGAAGCGAACGCTTGAATACTCCAACCCTCCAAACTGTAAGCCTCGCTCGAAAGAAACTCCTGAATTTGTATGTTGAAAATGTCATGTTATGTTATGCTTTATTATGGTATGTTACATATATATATATATATTAACTTATGTATTTTCTGTGTATAGATCTATGGAAACATATACATGCACACACACACACACAGAGGGATTGTAAATGCGGATGTATGATGACTAGTGAGGCCTCAAACTTGCAAGGGACATGCGCTTCTGAGCCCACGAGGATGGCGCCCTTCCTGTGGTCGACGCCCTGGTCCGGGTGCCCAGCGCCTGAGGTAGAATAGGGGCCATCTTGGACCCCCACAATATGTAGAAGAATGGTGTTGGGCCATTATTTTGCTACTTTTGGGGGTTTAGGGTATACGTTCCGATTCCAGGTTTGGGGCTTCGGGTGTGGGGGGCCGGAACAGTAGTAATTAGTAGTGTCTTATTTTTTGGGGTTCCTTCTTGTAGGTAACATAGAAAAACTCGCACCGAAACCGTATTCCAACTGAGAAGTTCCCGGGGAGCTTCGGCTGATGCCGAAGTCTGGGAAAACTTGCACATCAGTATAGCAATACTTTGCCAAGAAGCTAGTATGTGGGGTTCAGGGTTTAGGGTTTTCAGGCTTTTGAAACTCAACCTAGAGCCTTAAAGCCTGCACCCATCTGCACCCCAAATTTCCTCCCGAAGCCCAGTCCACACGCCATTGTCCAGCTTTGCACCATATATATATATATATATATATAATATACAATAAAACAACAGAATATAATAGAATACACTATAATATAGTATAATATATAATTATATATATATATATATATATAGAAGCCAGGTCTAGGTTTTGGAGCTTCGGGTATGTCCCTAAGCCCTTGGGTTCGGGCTTTCGGTGTCGTCAACAGCACTGTTTGAGGTTTTGCGGCTCAGGGATTCGCATGTCGGCCTAACGCTACGTTCGCCCAGCAAAGCTATTTTCAAATTGGGGTTTAGGGTTTAGGGTTTAGGGTTTAGGGTTTAGGGATTTCCGTAGGGTCCCTATAAGTTATGTATTGACATTTGTAGCCCTCAACCCGAGACCTAGAGGGAAAAGTCGAATTCCGTCTTGAGGTGTGTAAGCAGGCCCAAGAAAAGCCGTCGTCTTAGCTGACGGTCGCCCGAGACAAACCGAGTTTCGCCCCAAATGCTGTGCAACTTTGTGAAGTAACTTTGGCGTGCTTGGTTGAATCCTGCCAGAAATCATAGAGTAAGTAGCTTTTCCAACGCCCCACAACGTACAGTCCTACTCGCAGCATCCGCTTTGTGTTGCTATTGAGTACAATGTGGAAATTGTGCCAAGGTTTGCATCAATAGATCACCACGGTATTGTTCTCCAGCCCGGCATTTTGGTGAGGAAGCCGATTCCAATGTCATTACCAGCTGCAAGGCCCCAACCCTGTAAGACAATGAACTCAACCAATGTATCTTACAGTCCAGCTTCCGAAACCTCAGACCGGAACACCCGAATCCTGAAACACCTTGTTTCGTGAAGTCCAAATAACTATCGAACAAAATTCCCGCCAGCTCCATTAGAATCTTGGTCTGGCCTGGTTTTTCAAACCCTACGTAAACTATCCGCCCTACCCTATGAAGCATTGAAACAGCCCTGAACCTAATCTGGAAATCCTGCCCCCCTCCCCCCCTTAACACCGACACAACCTTAGATCCGGAAGTCCCGTCTTTAAGGTCAGACCCTAAAGCATGTAACTCAAATTTACCAACACAAAAGGGGCTTAATAATTATAATAGGGCTTGGGGTATACTATACTATACTTACAATANNCCCCAAACCCTATTGAAATTATTAAGCCTATATTACCTGCCAGATTTCAGGTCAAGGAGCAGGGTCCAAACTACTGTTTGGCGAAGAGACTGCAGCACTGGCGGGTGCCGTGGCGGCAGAGATTTGAGACCCCACTTGCGGTCAAAGTAGGGGTTTCCGTGCTTCGTGTTATGCATGCTATAGTAAACCTCAATAGGGAAGAGAAGCAAATGCATGTTTCAATATACATACATGTAGATGCATATTGCTTTAGAGGGTTTGCCTTTCGTAAATTGGAAAACCTTTTCAGTCCATGCCCAGCATAATCCGGGGAAGTCCAATCTTCCCCCACGACGTGAAGGTATGGAAACCCAGGATGCTTGGCTCCGACCCTCCAACTTGCTTGACGGTTCAGGGTTTAGGGTTT